ATAAATATACTACTTTATTTATTCCCTATTGGTGCTACCTAAGTATTTTTTGTTAAGAATTTTAAAGCATTAATTGTATTATTTGTATTTAAATTTAATTTTTATTAAAGTTTCTTAATCTTGTAATATTTTTATAAATTTTATATATTCTTAATATATTAATTTTTATATTTTCAATATATTTATAATACTTACTTAATTGTTGTTTTTATTTTATGAAAGACATATTGCAACGTTTTTTTTACATAAAAGTTTTTACAGAAAATATTTAATAATGTTAATATAAGTTAAATAATAATAAAAATAAAGTTGTAATTGATTCTACTTTAATTTTTACGAATTTATTAATTTTTACAATTTATAAATTTAAAGAAATTTGCGGGAATGGATGATAAATGTCGGACCAATCACAAACCGGGGAGAAGGTGGCCAGACTCTTATTAGAGGGTCACTAATAAAATCGGGAGAGTTGCGCTACTATTGTATATACTGTGGTCTTGAAATAGATGGCGTTGTAGAGCATCGGTAAAAACATGGTATAAACACATGGGTATGCTCATCCGGTGGACGAATTTAGAAAGCCTTTGCGCATCACTCAGTTTACGTCACATTCGGCTACTTTCGGATGCTTTCGGAAGCTTTCGGACTCTGAGTGCCAATGAAATATGGGCTGCCGTATTTATGATATTCGTTAAAGCGGTAAAGTAAGCAAGAGTTTTTATTAAAAATAATGGCTGTTTGTGCAGTAAAAGTCTGCAATAATTATTATCGAAAAACGGTAAGAATGAAAGGAGAGGAAATAAAATATTTCAGGTTTCCTAAAGACCCTGAAATTGCTGCAAAATGGATCGAAGTGTGCGAGGAAAATGTAAATTTAACGCATGGTAAGGTTGAAATATTGCATATTAACGCATAAACAAATTGATAGTGTAAATGTAAATAACTAATCTGATTAGGTTAACTTTTTGATAATTATACAGAATCACTCAAGCAGCTTAAAAATCGATCAAATTAAGCTTATTCGACGCGTTTTTGCATGAAACGAAAGGATCTGGCAGAAATAAGCGTCGCTCTGCCCTACGAACCGAGATATTTAATGTTAAAGTTGACGACTATTCAGGTTAGGAAATCTGTCAGACCTCTGTCCATGATCTCTCCCTCCCCCCCTGTTGAGGGGCGCACGATTTCTACGATTGTACTGTCGGGGCAGACCTCTGACGACGGTGTGGGTGCGGGGGGGGGG